AATCTCTTGCATTCCTATACACTAAGGATGAAAAATCTGAAAGAGCAATTAAGGAAACACTCCCATTTACTATTGCAACAAAAAGAATAAAATACCTAGGAATAAACCTACCTAGGGAGACAAAAGATCTGTATGTAGAAAACTATAAGACACTAATGAAAGAAATTAAAGATAATACCAACAGATGGAGAGATATACCATGTTCTTGGATTGGAAGAATCAATATTGTGAAAATGACTATACTACCCAAAGCAATCTACAGAATCAATGCAATCCTTATCAAATTACCAATGGCATCTTTTACGGAACTAGAACAAAAAATTTCACAATTTGTATGGAAACACAAAAGACCCCGAACAGCCATAGCAGTCTTGAGGAAAAGAAATCCAGCTGGAAGAATCAGGATCCCTGACTTCAGACTATACTACAAAGCTACAGTAATCAAGATAATATGGTACTGGCACAAAAACAGAAATATAGAGCAACGGAATAAAATAAAAAGCCCAGAGATAAACCCTCGCACCTATGATCAACAACAAAGGAGGCGAGGATATACAATGGAGAAAAGACAGTCTCTTCAATAAGTGGTGATGGGAAAACTGGACAGCTACATGTAAAAGAATGAAATTAGAACACTCCCTAACACAAAAATAAACTCAAAATGGATTTGAGACCTAAATGTAAGACCGGACACTATACAACTCTTAGAGGAAAACATAAGAAGAACACTCTTTGACATAAATCACAGCAAGATCTTTTTTGATCCACCTCCTAGAGTAATGGAAATAAAAACAAAAATAAACAAATGGGACCTAATGAAACTTAAAAGCTTTGTACAGTAAAGGAAACCATAAACAAGACGAAAAGACAACCCTCAGAATGGGAGAAAATATTTGCACCCGAATCATCTGACAAAGGATTAATCTCCAAAATATATAAACAGCTCTTGCAGCTCAGTATTAAAAACACAAACAACCTAATCCAAAAACTGGCAGAAGGTCTAAATAGACATTTCTGCAAAGAAGACATACAGATGGCCAAGAAGCACATGAAAAGCTGCTCAACATCACAAATTATTAGAGAAATGCAAATCAAAACTACAATGAGGTATCACCTCACACCAGTTAGAATGGGTATCATCAGAAAATCTATAAACAACAAATGCTGGAGAGGGTATGGAGAAAAGGGGAACCTCTTACACTGTTGGTGGGAATTAAATTGATACAGCCACTATGGAGAACAGTATGGAGGTTCCTTAGAAAACTAAAAATAGAATTACCATATGACACAGCCCTCCCACTACTGGGCATATACCCAGAGAAAACCATAATTCAAAAACACGCATGCACCCCAATGTTCACTGCAGCACTATTTACAATAGCCAGGACATGGAAGCAACCTAAATGCCCATCGACAGGTGAATGGATAAAGAAGATGTGGTACATGCATACAATGGAATATTACTCAGCCATAAAAAGGAATGAAATTGGGTCATTTGTAGAGACATGGATGCCTCTAGAGACTGTCATACAGAGTGAAGTAAGTCAGAAAGAGAAAAACAAATATCGTATATTAACACATATATGTGGAACCTAGAAAAATGGTACAGATGAACCAGTTTGTGGGGCAGAAGTTGAGACACAGATGTAGAGAACAAAAGTATGAACACCAAGAGGGGAAAGCAGAGGGTGTGGGGGTGGTGGTGTGATGAACTGGGAGATTGGGATTGACACGTATACACTGATGTGTATAAAATGGATGACTAATAAGAACCTGCTGTATAAAAAAAAATTAAATTTAAAAAATTAATTAATTAATTGATAAAAAAACACAACCAATTTCAGAAATGCAGTTTTGGTGGTTTGTGTTAAGATTCCTTATGATGGATATTCCATGCTGTATTTTGTCACACCCTTTCTGCTGGATATTTAGGTTACTTCCAGTTTTCTCCCATCATTAATAATGTTGAGTCTCTTGCTTGTAAACCTTTGGTTACGTCTTTGGTTGTTTCCCCCCACCCTCCACTCAGGATGAATTCCTAGAAGTGGAATTACACAATTTAAAGAAATACGCTTTCTTTTATGACTCACTGCATATTGCTAAAAAGGGTGTACATTTCAGTCTTTTATAGACAGTTCATGACTGTGCCCTTTCCTCCCCCCCCCACAAAAAAAAGAGGTTAAGAAATCTGAGGCCAATAGTCACAAAGGCCAATAATCTCTGATCGCTACAGAAAGTTAGTGAGATACTATCTATATTTCTGTCATTTTATCTATACTCACTAACTATACTTCTGTTGTTTTATCTACCTACCTACCAAATACTTACTTTATGTCCCCAGATTAAACCCAGAGTACAAAACACTAGACACGTAGGGCTATTATTCCAAGGCTTGTGACCAAGAAAATCATTAAAACTTCACGATGCACTAAAGGGAAAACACACTCAAAAACTTTTATAATCTTAATCTCCCTTGAATCCCTCCTTTAGTCATTTTAAGTAAACTTTATAACATGCCACTTAAACATTGCAGTAAGAAATTAAAACCTTCAGAGTAGTCTTTCCCCTGAAACGAATCTCAGGAAATACCCACTCAACAGAAGCCCTTGGCCTATAGGTTAAAGGTAAAATATAGATTTTATATAAGAGACATATTGTGTATCAGCCTTCAAATTTTTCTGTGTTTTAGTCTAGCAGTCCAGCTTCCACCCCTTAATTTCTGCTCCTGCCAAATCTTCACATCCACAGAAGTTACAGAAAATGTTGTACATATGAGCTCAACAGCAACAGCACGGCAGCCCCCAGCCATGACTTACTTGCTGAAATGAAATCCCAAACCACAATGCTGACTTCCCTCCTAAACCCATGATGCTGCTTTTTTCTGGGGCGCTCTCTGTTGTGAAAAGCAACAACTCAAGCTCAGAGTTTCCCTGTTTCATTGCCTTTACTTGGAAGAGCAGCAGCACAAACATAAACCCACAGCCTCTGTTATGAGACTCACAAAAAACCTATTCCTTAGTCTTTGTTAACAGATCTGATTTTTAAAATGGTTCATGGCTCCAAAATGCCAAGAATTATCCTAGAGGCATATATGAAAGAATTTAACATTTCAATAACCTAAAGGAAAGTTATTTTGGAAATGAGAATTATCTAACCATTTCAGTACACAGGACACTTTAGACACCTTTACTTCTCTTCATGTATATTGATACATACTAACCAAGTGTTCATCTTTTTATGCAAATCAAATGATTAGCGGGTGAATGTCAGGCCTGAGACTTTTTCAGATCAAATTCACTGCAGAAAAACTAATGAGATGAAGAACTTCAATCAGCTCAAAAATCTACATCATTTCACACTACGTGCAAAATAGGACCATTAACTCCCCAAAATATAAGCCTTAAGATGTGGTTTTCATTATCCAAGGTTTCCAACAGTTCCTATCAATGAATATTTTGTCTATTTCTAATGTTTGCAGTAAAACACAGTTGCTCACACACTCTCCTAAAATGATTATAAAACCTGATGTAATGAGTTCAGGTAGAAAAGATGTGCCTAAGCAGTTTGCTCTGGTATTTAATCGCAATATCAACCATATTAAATTCTTTTATTCCTTGTAATTACTAAGCAATTATGCACCAGACACAGAACTAGGTAATAGAGATAAAGTGACAAAAAAGACCTTTTGGACTATGGTACCCAAATAACTACCTAATTACAAGTAAATGAGTAGTAAGTGCTATGAAAGATAATACTTAAGTAATTGTCTGTGAGGGCAATGTTAGTACACAACTATAATGTCAAAGTTTACATTACCTAACTTAAAGACGGCTAAGTTTAGAATACCAAGAGTTTTCATCATGATCCTACTGGATAAGAAAAATTCTTTTCACAAAATCATGTATAATGATTTATTCCCTCTAGTACCACAACTACCTTTGTCCAGATGTGAGCTTATTAACATAATACATTTGCACTCTAAGACACACAACCTTAATGATGAGAATAACTAAAGAATTCTGGGCTGATGAGACAGTATCAGGAATATGCTTCAGTATATCACAAATCAAGTTCTTCTGCCTATCATTTGACCCAAAACTTACATTGATAACATAGCAGAAGGATCCCTTTGAAAAAAAACTCAAGATTTCATTAAAGAAGAGCAGAGGTTCAAAACAGCAAATGCTATTTAACATCACTTTGAGTTCATTCCATAAAAATCAAAGAATAATATAAAAGAGTTAATAGAACCTATTTTTTTTTGTTTTGTTTTTTTGGGGTTTTTTTGCGGTACGCGGGCCTCTCACTGTTGTGGCCTCTCCCGTTGCGGAGCACAGGCTCTGGATGCGCAGGCTCAGCGGCCATGGCTCACGGGCCCAGCCGCTCCGCGGCATGTGGGATCTTCCCAGACCAGGGCACGAACCCACGTCCCCTGCATCGGCAGGTGGACTCTCAACCACTGCGCCACCAGGGAAGCCCAATAGAACCTATTTTTGACATGAAACCTCACAGGAGTTTAATTTTGTGAAACTATTCCATTTTTAACTATATTTTTCAGAATCCCTAGAGATTCTAATATATTGGCAACACGTCTTCTGTTTTAATGTTGCAAATCCAGTCACCCTGCAGATACCTAATTACTGAATGCCAGAATGAGGGAGGCTTGTGGATGCTTTTTGCTGTCACTGGTGCCAAAAATATTTACACTGGAACAAATACTTGTTGAATACTCAGGAGAAACATACAGTAGTTACGAACTGCAATAGAGTGATGTTATATTGTAATTCTGTCCTTGGAGGTCCACGCTGTGGAAACCACATGTATAAACAGGTTAACAGAGAAGCAAAAATGGATTCTTCTGATAATTCAATAATTAAATCACCTTATTTTAAATTCCACTTTTTGGTATTCCAGTTGGGTTCTGGGATATTTATTTAACAGTCACATGAGTCCCAAGTAGAGTAAAAAAGCAAAGAAACATAAATGCTAAGTAAGGTTACCTTTGCACCAAAGATGACGAAAACATTTGTCCAAAGGCTGATTCAGAATCACAAGGCAGTATTTCAAACTCCCTATGGGGAAAAAAAGCAAACTAACGTAAACAAGTGAACCAAGTCTTTCATTCCCCTCATATGAGTCTGGAATCATACTCTCTGAGACCAGATTTGCAGTCTACACAGAGCTAAATTTTAATCACAGCTAATTTCTTATACCTGAATTTTAAAAAATACCATAGGTTAATTGGATCTACTTTATTCAATACGTCCATCACATTACCATATTGCTGAGGAATTTATCATAAAAATAGTTTATCATAAAGACAATTGGGTACGCTTCTTTTTGTACAGGGTGTGCAGCAAAAATGCCCTTGATATGAATCCTTATCCTTTTGATATATGTAACACTTTGATTCAAGTACCCTTCTACCTGGCTGGTCTGCTATCATCTTGACGTTGTTTGCCAAGTAGCATAGGTCTAATGGGTGTGTACTTTCACATGCATTTTCATCCTCATTCATATTCTCTCCTTCACTTTCATTCTCTCCCTCCACCCCGAGTTATCTTGAACTCTCCAATGTAAAACTTTGTTTCCACAAAATCCTACTAGTTCTTTTCATGACTCTTTTATTCCAAGTTTTTAGATGACACTCAAAAGACTAAGAAAGATGGAAAAAAGTTACTTCTCCAACAATCATTTCAAGCCTTTTATAATGTACTGTAAATAGTGCAAAGCAGAACGCAATCAGGCTGTTGAAAATCTGTCATTCAGCTCAGTCCAAGCACTCCATTTCATTTATGGAAAGAAATGTTTGTTTGGTGATAAGAAAAATTAACTTTTTTTTTTTTAAAGCAATCTCAGTGTTAGAAATGGAACAAGATAAGGAAACGAAAAGGGGGTGGCATCACCCACAGCAAACGTTATTAAGTGCCGATTATATACCAGTCACCAGGAGTGCAAAGAGGAATAGATTACAGGGTATCTGTGAGAGAAGACAGTTATAATAAAGACGATTTATTCCACAATACAGTACAACACAAGGAAGGATATGAGGAATGCTGGGTAACAGATAAATGAATGTGGCAGAAGTTCAAAGCCTAGAAAGTCCGTAAGGTCTGGTGTCATCCTAGAAATCTTTGTGATATGCAGATTTTTGAACTTGATCTTAAAAAGAAGTAGCTGGACAGAATAAAGCAAAGGGCATTCCAGACAAGGAAAACAACACACAGGAAGCTGCTATCCTTTGCCAGTAGGACTGTTACCATGGAAAGTTTAGGAAGCAACACCCTAATGACGTGCACCTAAGACATGAATACTAACATCCCAGATTTTAGACATGCTGTTTAGGATGACGGAGGAATTTCAATTGAGGCACCACGAAGTATTTCGAGTGATAGAGAAATAAGTAGTAAAGGCAATTTATGTATATCGGGGGATCATCCACACAGAGGTGATAGCTAAAGGTCAAAGCACAGACACAAGCTGAGACACTACAAAGAAAGAGCAGAGAGAGAAAAGAACAAATGACGAACACAAAATTGTCATGTTTTGCTCACCGTTACAGAACAGAAGGACGTCAACAAAGGAAATACAGAAGAAAAAGCCAGAAAGGTGAAAGAACTAAGCAGGTAATTCCAAGAATGTGCCGTCGATAACAGAGCATGCCGAGGAGACGTCACAGAGCCTAGACAATGAGAAAAGGCCAACGAGGGTGGGAAAATCTCAAAGAAAAGTCTAAAAATTCACGGAGGCAGCCTCAAGATAGTAACGAGAACAAGGAGTTAGAAAACTGAGAGATGCCTCTTCTTAAAAAATAAAAACTGAACTGTGAGAAATGGGGGAAAAAGGCAGCAAAGCCCAGAGCAGGTATTTTAAATACAGAAAATATTATATTCGAATTAGGAGGAGGGAAGTTAGAGAGAGAAGGGAAATGATCTATTTATTCATTTAACAGGTTTTTTTGTTTTGTTTTGTTTTTTTGTGGTACGCGGGCCTCTCACTGCTGTGGCCTCTCCTGCTGCGGAGCACAGGCTCCGGACGCGCAGGCTCAGCGGCCATGGCTCACGGGCCCAGCCGCTCCCGGACTCTCAACCAGTGCGCCATCAGGGAAGCCCTAACAGGTATTTATAGAGCACAGAGTAGTCTTGTTCAGGAATTAACACTCCCTCCCCCCACCCCCCTGCCCTACGGCTTACCTACTACTGATAAAAACAGGTGTTGAGATTCAGGCACAGGATGACCTATCACAGAGACATACCAAATTGAGGTAGAGGCAGAGTACGGTCAATTTATTTATAAGAAAGTAAACAAGAAACAAAATGAAGATATGGAAGTCAAATGGAACATTTAAAATGACTGCTGTAAGAAACGGACTACAGGAACTGACAGTCCACAGGTTTAAAAACAGGAATTCATTTGGGGTTAACTAACAGGCATAGGACATCAGATCTGCCTATAATTCAGGACTTTTCCCACCAATTCTTTTTTTTTTTTTTTTAGGGCAGGCCTGCTAGTTTATTCATATTGAATCTAAACCTTAGATCTCTGGCTTAACAATAACACAGGAAACCTTTAAAGACACAATAAATATTGTGTTAAATCAGAGATGGTTTAAACCAGTCATATAACTTCTAATACTCTGGGTTGGCAACTACAGCATGACAAATTATATACATAAAGATATTTAGGTACTAGGATCTAATGTTCTTTCCTTTTCTCATCTAGACTCCTCTGGGAGTAGAAATAGGAATCGGTGTAAACAAGTAAGACGGTGATGACAGCTGGTTTGAGAAGTGGCAGAATCGCTTGTCAAGAGGTAAAGGGAAGCAAGGAGGCATCTTCGGGCAGCGTTAGAGTGAATGACTGGCAGAGACCAGTGATCGTCTCACAATATTCATTCTTTAACAACAGAAACCTGAGGGGTTTTTTGGTTTTGGTTTTTACCAAAATGGTGAAAAACCATCTCTCGGACTCCTTTGCAGCAAAATGTAGTCATAAGACTAAGTTCTGGCCAAGAAGATACACAGAAGAGCCTTATATGTTACTTCTATGGGGGCTCCATAAAGTGGAGGGGGCCTTTCCTTCTGCTTTTCTTCCTCCATCCTGCCATCTGGAGCAAGACTGATGAATGAATGAAAGTCTAGCAGTCACTTAGGATCCCAAGAACAAGGGCAACAGCCTGAAAGAGCCTGGGTCCCTGATGATTCCATGAAGCCTCCATCCCAGCACTTCAATTCCTGGCTCCAGATTTCTTTTATATGAGAGAAAACTAAACTCTTATTTTATTTAAGCCAATAGTATTTGGGGTTTCACTATTCTGTAGAGAGAAACTGAGTTTTAATTAACGCAATGACCATGGTCCAGGCTGGGTTATGGTAAAGATGATCTAGAGAGGAACTGGAGAAGACAAAGAGCAAGCAAGCATCAAAACACAGGAAGACTTTAACTCATTCATTCATTCAACAGGGATAAGAGATTCACAGCCTGGCACACGATAAGTGCTCAATATAATGTTAATGGCAAGGAGCTCATAATTTGGATAAACCAATGGTCCTTTAATCTTTGGCAAGATCTCCAGTGCTAGAGGAGGCATTTGACAGTATTGTATGTGTATGTAAGTGAACAAGCAAACTACTCTCTGTCACTGATTCTTTGATATGTGAACTCAGTATTTTTGTGGCTCAAAGAACAATCTGATGAAGGGGTAAAGCATTATTATCCAACTTACTGCTCCTCTAAACTCATACTTTCATTAAGGTGTATCTGTGAAAGCACATTTGCAAAGAATGAAGCCATTTGAAAATTTATAGCACATTTATGATTTACTAATGATGCTATCAATAATCAATTTCTATACATAACATTTATGTTTATCTATTTCTATACATAGAGATATTTAGGTACTAGGATCTGATACTCTTTCCTTTTTTAATCTAGACTACTCTGAAATTATAACTAGGTGAAGTCAGTTTGGCATTTATTTTACATTCAAAACCCTCATGATTACTAATCCCTAGTAGGCTGGGCTTTAGAGAATTCTAATAAGCCCACTTATTTGGCTGTGTGGTTTGTGATATCTGAGTAACTGATTTAACAACTCTGAGCCCACCAAGTATGGAAGATTCAGGGAGATATAACACATAGCTGAGTACGATGCCTGACACAAAGTAAATAAATACTCAACAAACACAGTTTTTTGCCCCTGGCAAGGACTTTCTTATCTTTCACAACTTAGAGAAAATATTTTACTTTCTTTTTTCCAACCTCTCTCCCTTTCCCCCCCATTAATCATTCTCACCTAAAAACCATAATATTTAATTGCTTCTGCTAATAATTGTTATATGCTTCTTACTCAACAACAGCGGATACACTTTAGGCAAGTAGAAAAAATAATTTACTCATCCCTTTTCTCTTCAAAATTTAACCTAGGTCTTGGCACAAAGAAGTCATGACATAACTGTTTCTAACATAAACTTTAAAAACCACTCACTGTGCTGTTTCCTGTATCACTAAAATAGGTACCCTACAACTAACCATACACACTTGTACACAAACCTAACCATCATAATTTTATGGCGTTCCAAATTTCTTCCCAATTAACCTTTTATCAATTTATTTTTTAAATTTTTATTGAAGTATAGTTGATTTACAATGTTGTGTTAGTTTCAGGTGTACAGCAAAGTGCTTCAGATTATGTATCTATCTATCTATATTTCTTTCTGAGATCCTTTTCCATTATAGGTTGTAACAAGTTATAGAATAGAGTTCCCTGCTATATAGTAGGTCCTTATTGGTTACCTGCTGTATACATAGTAGTGTGTGTATGTTCCCAAATGCTTAATTTATCCCTCTCCCACCCAGCTTTCCCCTTTGGTAACCACTGTTTGTTTTCTATGTCTGTGAGTCTATTTCTTCCCAATTAATCTGTAAGACTTTGTGTCTTACAAAATTGCTTCTAATGTCACCATACCCTGTATGAACAGAAACACAATCTTGGAACTTTTTTTTTTTTTTTTTTTTTACTGTAAAGAACAAACCAGGGCAGGCTCAATATTCGTGCCCCTCACTTAATGGA